TACAAGAATAAAGCCTTTGAGATTAAAATTCAGAAATTCCCTCTTCCAAAAATTGAAGAAAATCAAGAGAGAAAGAAGATGATTGAAGTAGGGAGTTTACCTATTGTGTAGCTCACAACAGTCGTAAAATCTCCTAAATCCAAGCCTAACTCTCTCTCTTTCTCCTCTCTTCTTCCTCTCTCTCTCTCTCTCTCATGTGCTCTTTTTCTTTGTTCTTTTCCTTATTTCATTTCTACATTTCTGAGTCATTTTTCCCTTTAAAATGCTTATATAAAAATTTGGGAAAAATTACAAGAAAGGGCCCAATATTTTTTATTATAGCACAAAAGCCTAGGTCAACTTTGGTAATTTTTTCATAGTTAAAAATAAAATAAAATCTAACTTTTGCTTAGAAAAATTCAAACTCTAGACCTCTATGAAATTATTCTAAATTTTAATTTAATTATAGATATTTTAGTCTTAAATTTTTGAGATGTTACACATGATATCTTATCTACCAAGTGTGAGTGAGAGATGTTAGGTTATCCATCATTATAGTCCTATAGGGCTTTATCATAATATAGAGAAGTCCTGTGTTCAAAGTGTAATATGCTTTGGGGTCAAGTGTGTAATTTTCCCTTAACCATTTCAATTAGTTAGTGTGGGAACAATTATTAAAATTGTATGCACCATAATGCAAAAACTCCCACTGGCACTTGCAGTTTATATAGGAAGCCAATATGTACTACTACAAAAAAAGGGCATATTGGATAGTTCTTTTTGCCTATATTGGACAATTATAAATTGTCCAATATGAGATTGTCATATATTGATAAAATAAATATTGGATGGTTATTAGAACCATCCAATATTATAATATTGGACGGTTCAAATACCCATCCAATACATTGTTAGAATACCTGATGCTAGGCAGAGTATATTGGATGGTTATTTACCACAACCGTCCAATATTATTTAGTATATTGGACAATTATTATGATAACCGTCTAATATTTTGAATTTTTTTAAATGTGCTAACTGCATTTCTTGCTACCCCCTGCAATAACATAATGCAAATACAGACTAGTCCAATCCAATTCAATCCGTAATTATACTAAACTAAATTCAATTATAGTAAACTAATAATTTTATTAAAATAAAAAAAAATATTTCCTATATAATTGCTTAACATAATACTAAGTAAAACAAAGTTGATTATTATACTAAACCAAAATTATTCTAAATTATAAAATCTAAATGAGAAAAACTAAAATAAAAATGTTCAGTTTATTTATGTTTGGCCCATAGTTGGAAAATGTACTCACACTATTCCTCAATAATTTCATTGATGTAATGATCCCCAAATTCTTCACAGTATGAATCGGGATAATATTGCAATAATATAATATGACAATAAATTTAATTACTTCAACAAATTAAAATTCATAATTATATATAATTGAATCTAAATAACATACATACTAGAGCAGGGATTACAGTCATTCCATGAGTAATGATATCTTTAAGAAATCTCATGATATAATATCCACAATCCTCGCTATATGCTATTTGTCATGGGTACTGCATAAAAAAAACTAATAAACATGTTATTGAAATAATTAGGAAATTAAAATAGATTGTTAGAATTAGTAGTGATAGGTACCTTTATTATCTTTCAATTAGGATAGGCCAAATCATATGACTTGTATCTTGATAGTATAGGCAAGTTCTTTTCTGTGTGATAAAGCACCATAGCCCTGATAAGAAAAAAATAAGTTGAAATTAGAAATTCAAAATGAAAAAATATATAAATATTAATCAAAATATAAACTTACAAATTAAATAATTCCATTACGTCTGGTCTATTATCTGGTTGCCTATTAGCAGAATCCAGATAGTAAAACTTTGTAGTTTTAACAACAACTGACATAAAGCCGATTAACATCCAGTGGCTCTTAAAACAATTTGAAAGCATGTAATGAGACTTAAAATGACAAGATAAATTAAATTAATCAAGATAACACTAAACTCACCCTTATACATAAGGTATCAGAAATAATGTTCCTGTAGTAGGGTTCTTTGTTTCGAAGTACTTTGCTAATGTTTGAGCTTGGCTATGCCGCACCTCGATAGTAATGTTGCGATAATCAAAGACATCATGAGGACAAACAAAGATAAATTTTGACATAAGATCACTAGGGACGATAAAATTTTCATATAGGTACCTAAATGAAAAAATAAACAAATTATTATATTATATCAAATTTAAAATATAATAAAAAGTCATATAAACAATATATATGTCATATAAAATTGAACCACATTTTAGGTGATCGAAATGCGTTTGAAGACTTCATTGACCATTTCAACCCTAATCACATTGTGTTATTCTCTACCGTACATACTTTGGTCAAAGCTGATAAGCATTGTAGAATTAGCAAACAACTTTACGTACACCTCAAGTGTGCTTTGGTAGGTTTTTAGCAATTGGTTCGGTAAGGCTTTCTCAACCTTAGATAATTGGCCTGGTTGTCTAGTAATGCCTTTCCCCTTGGACTGCACACCAATTATATAGTTAGATATCAATATAGGTAATATATACATAAATAGGTAACTAGCATACTTGTTGTCAATTTTGTGCTTCATCTTTTACACAAAAACAAACCCTAAGCCATGCAATAAAGTTGTCACTTGCTTCTCTAACAGTAAATGCATCTAAGGTGGGAATGAGCAATGAGTAGTTAGCATCAATAAATTCAAGAATCAACCCTCACAAATAGTCTGTAGGCATCGGCACATTGTGTATGGTATGTTCCTTAGAGATATTAAACACACAACCTCTTGCAAAAACTTACAATTATATTAAACTAATTGTAAGTATTTTATCTTATGCGAAAACTTGCCAACAAGTGAATTCTTTTATTTATAAATTATAAATAATTTATAATAGTTATTTTTATCATTTCTTTAGGAATTGTATTTGAATATATATATATATATATGTATATATAATCTAAACAACATTAGGGCCCATGTGTTTAAGATTAAAAAAATAATTTTATAAAAAGTTATTTATTTTGTAGAGGTTTTAAGAAAATTAGGAATTATTTTATTTTGGTTACAATCATAAAAAATCATTTTTCACTTATAATAACAAGTAAAATATATGTTTCAATATTAACATTAATATATAAGCCCAATTGTTATAAAAATTATATATCACTAACGTATAAAAACTATTTTTATTGAAATTTTTCATTCCTATTATAAACAAATAAAAAAATGTTGCATAAAAAATTCCCTTTTAATTAAAAAAAACCTTAAACACAAAAGAGCCCTTAAAATGCCTAACTATTAATTTCAAATAAAATTTTGGTAGCATAATAGTATATAAATGAAACTTTTCAAGGCCTTTTGCCCTCATTTCAATCACAACTCATCATCATCAACAACAAAATCATATACCATTTAAAGTTAAAAGTTACACATGAGTAACAATTTCAAGTAAGCTAAAAGTACTCATACACAATTCCAATCACTATAAAACTTTATATATAACTCAACCATCAATTAATGAATCAAACGATAAAAAAATTTTCAATCAAACTACTTGAATTTTGTTCAAACAAAAACAAAAAACGAAAAAAGTATACCATAAATTTGGATAAAAATAAAAACTAAATATAACTCCCATATAATCATATATTATTAGTCTAACATGTATTTTCAAGTTACCCATAGCTTCAAATTCATGTGGGTTTGGGTCAATTTTTTTTTTATCAAACATGTCATCGAACACCTTAAGTGCGCCAATAATAACCCAAAATCAATATAATGTAATCTCACAAACTAAAGCCTAATCAATAATCAAACAAGTCCAATATAATCTAGACAATAATCAAAAACAAAAACTAGCTTGAATTGTTAAGAGAGCAAACAAGAGATTTGGAGCAAATGGGAAGAAGAGTAGCTCATTGCCTTGCCGAATAAAGCACATGGAGAGGAAATAGACAAGAGGGAGGCAGGGGGAGAGGAAGAAACCCTAGTAGATCAACAGCCAAAACTCATTGGTGGCAATGAAATGGGAGAGGAAGAGAAGACAACAGCCATGGTGAGCGGGTCCAGAGATGCTCTATGAGCAATTCTATTTTTTTGGGTTTGGTCGAGAGAGCAAATGATAGAAAGGAGGGAAGAATCTGATATAAAACGCCTATGTTGGACGGTTATTTTAATAACCGTCCAATATAGTGAGATCTTATTGGATGGTTATAATATATAACCATCCAATATGTTTTTTTTAAAATAAAATTTAAACATATTATAACCATCCAATATGTTTTTTTTAAAATAAAATTTAAACATATATTGGCGGTTCTCTTGAATGGTTCAATAATTCTAATAAGATCCATCATTTATTTTGCTTTTAGTAGAAGTGATGTGAAAAAGGCACCCATTATGTATTTTAATGACAAGCAGACTCTCTTTGCATTTTTTTCTCTTCTCTTCCACTTGTATATATGCTTCGTTCCCAAACCGAGTTCGAGTCTATGACTCCATTCCAACACAGTGGTCACTCGTCCAATGCAAAATAACATACCTTCCTCCTCCAAAACTTACATGGAGAAATAATGGAAATCCAAATAAGATTTTAGATATTAGACGTAGGTCAAGTGGTTTGGACTGCACTAGTATAAATCTTTGATGTTTCCTCTCTCAACTCCTTTTTCAGAATCTTTAGTTCCATTTCTTAACTTGCTCTAATATATATATATATATATATAGAATTTTTATAGAAAACTTTTGCTATCGGTGCCATCACAACAATTTTTTAAACAACTGATGATGACCAATACAAAAACTGTAAATGGATCTAATTCTCCAAGGAACAATCGTTAATTTATACTTCCAACGCAATGTTACCTTATTATTGCACCTACCAATAAGCTCAGCTAGTTCAGACCATGCACTGGAAACTTGACCAAAATTATTCAAAGTAGTACACAAATTCCACAAAGGCAAGTTTAGAGAAATGGTTCTTCGGATGGGAATGATGCAGGTCCTAGTGATGGTGAATTAGAAGCTTCCACAGGTGGTAAAGGTGAATGAGGAGGAATAGGAGAGACTGTGACGACATTAAGGCTTAGCTTTTGACCACTGCTACAGTGACCTGTGAAAGCACAAACAAAGTAGAATTCTCCAGTTCGACCCAGAGTCACTCTCGCTGGCCCTGTGCTAAGAACCTGAATAGGGTTCGTGAAGTTGCATTTCTCAAAGTTTAGTTGAGTCAGTATGGCTACCACGTGCCTTCCAGCGGGGAAGTTGAACACTGCAAAAAAGTTAAAATATATAGCAGAAGAAATGAGTGTGTCATCTCTGTAGAGACCAGAGTTAATTATCTGCTGTAACATTTTATTTTATTTTTTATTATTTTCTACAACATTTTATTTTATTTTAAAAAACAAAATAAAATAAAATAAAAAAAACAACTCATATGCATGTCTGCAATTCAATGTCCTAGCTATCTCCTCCTCCTCCTCCTTGTCCTCAAATTTACTAGCAGCATTAAAGAACAAGGCTCGGACCTAATTCTCTATATGCCACGTATAAATTGGCCACATAATTAAACATCAATCAATATCAATATTCAAAGCGAAGATAAGGGAGACTAGGGAGAGCTCAGAGCTGACCCCCTCGCTTTTTAATTTTTTTTAAATGATTGATTTATATATTTTGGCCCACAAAATATATTTGTCTATATTATTTAAAATGATATTTGAAAAAATAATAATTTTTGGCCTTAATAAAATATATGCTATAGATAAGATCTACTTTCTATGACAGTTAATCATCATTACCATGTTAATATATTTACTAGTATCATAAATTATCAATGGAATGAATTAAATAATAAATTCATAGAGCAAGCAACAAAGATTTTAAGTTGAGCACAATTTTAAATTCTAAAAATGCATTTGAATCATTCAATGCTAGGAACATATGCAATCTTGTTGAGAAATTTTTACTCTTCAAATTTTTCTAACCATTTTATGTCAAAAAATCCTAAGTCTCAAAACTTGTCTAATATGAATGAATATGTCAAATATTTGCAAAGGTTGAGAGCCTAATTCTTATTCATTAATAATTTTTATGCCATGAAAAGCTGCATATTCATTTTTTGTCATATATCTGGAAATTTGAATATAACTATGTTGAAATATTTTTATCATGATACTTATATATATATATATATATATAACTTTGTTACAGTTGTTGTATATATATTGTAATTTTAGGTCCTTCTGATTGAAAATTCTAGCTCCTCCTTGTCAATATATTAATTTTATGGTGCAAGTTGTGAATAGGAAATACTTTGACTTATTCAAACTCAGCATAACATACATGAAACATAAGAATTGACTCTCATTGACGTACTGAGAGTGTCGTTTAGTTTGAAAGTGAGATTCTTGGCCCAGTTGGAATAGAAAGAAGCCCCACGTGGGGGATTATTGATCCAACCTGTGGAACCACCTACTGTGAAATCTTCAGCTTCTGTGCTGTGTAGGAATATTGCGGCAAAAGCAGCTACCACAATAATTGCCACATTCTCTAACTTAGCCATCTCTGTGATATGTGATCTCAGGTCGTCCGTCCGATGGCTTTGTGAATCACTGCTTAAGCTTGAAAAAGTGCGCGCGCGCGCGCGTGTTTCACACACCCACACACGCAGCTTTTAAAGGGTGTTTAAAAGTTAAAAAAAAGAATATTGATATGGTCCAAAAATGCGTGATTACATGTAGCTAATTCCGTTGGGCCAGAAAGGAAGGAAGAAATATCATGCGAATCTTCTCATCCTCGGTAACGCAATAAAATCAATAGATTAAGAAACATTGATTCTGTGCATAGTGCATGTACACACCAATCGCGTTTTATAGACTAACACTACTGATCAATTAATTTTAACTTAATTAGTTCTACCTCCAAGTCTTGCTTGTATGTATGTATGTATGTGTTTGTATGTAGCGATAAATTCACCAGCTTAAGCACATATCCAAACAAAACAAAACAAAACAAAAAAACAGTTATTGTGGCTAATAACATTAATTATTTCCGATCATTCTGTTGGTTCATCCAATAAAGCTCATTTACATAATTCATGAATATATGGCACACATATTCGTGAATTTGCTACAGAATAATTTTGAAAATGATTAATTTTTTGCATGTGTTTTGATATAAAAAGTACTTTGTATTGCGTACCTCTTATTAAAAATAATCATGTTTGAGGCAGAATCCCAATAAAATTTGAACACTATTTCATTATGCTGTAAAATACTAGCCTCTTTTGCTAGATGAAGCACCATAATTAGAAATTCAAAGTTTTCTCATGGTCAAGATAAATTATTAACGTATACTAATAATAATATTATTAAAAATATATATTACATGTATTACTATAAATTGTTAATAATATATATAATAGCCATAAAAAAGATATTTTTTGGTACAAAGCAAAATATATTAATATTAAAAACAGATACAAATATCCGAGGATATATTTGAAGCATACTCCTAATATCCCTTTGTAACATGCATAGTGTGTAAGATAAATTTTAATAACGTAGAATTATCATAATAAAGCAGACTTAGATATATACAAGAATAATCAACAGAAAAGATGATGGAGATGAGATCCAAGTCTGATTATTGATGAACATTAAAGCACACCAATGCATTTGCAAAAGTAATTGAATGTTATTCCTTATACGCATTATCGACTCCCCAGAGTACAATATATAATTAGTTGAATACAATGTGCAGATGAATCTTCCTAACATTTTTGGATTTTCTAATTGAACAATAGACTTTCCATGCTTCCGAACCTCGAAGAATATCTTCATTGAAATTCTTTGGACAGAATTGAGTATGTGGATGTTGATAACTTGTCCATGTATGGGATGGAGTTTGAAACATATTACAATGGAGAAAATAAGAGCAATTCCTTTGTGCCAATATAAGGGCTTTCGTTGGCATGATATTCAAATTTTGAAAGGAAAAATGACAATTAAGGATCCCCTAAGGTCATTAATTTTAATTGAGGATCATAAAATATTGAAATCCTAATTAAGGATCATGGTCCTTACTTGAAATTTAAAAAAATATGAATTATCTTAAATGACCTTAAAAAAATCAAAATACTCATGTAGATGCCCTATCGTCTTTGTTCCTTTTTGTACTCTTCGACCATTGCATGCTCAACTCATTCTAGTTATCATCACAGTTGTTGGCTGGCGATTCTTGATGATTGTTTGGTGTTCGACATTGCAATACACAAATGTTGTTGCTCAATTCAAACACTGCTCTTTGATTGACATTGGTTAATCAACTCCTTATCGCTCTGTACTACTCTACTTTTCATATCTGGGTAAAGTTCTTGTAACATCCTCTCCTACATTACCAAACATTACCACATATACTATACAAAGGTAATTAGAAGTCTTTAAACCTCTAATATACCATAATACTCCAATATTAAAAATTTAGAAAAAAATATTTTAAAATAGTTAGGATCCTAAAAATTATTTGAAAACAACTTAAACCATGCAAAAATAAGTATTTATGCACAACAAAAGCATTTAGGAATACATAAATACTTTGCAAAAGGCAACAGGGGCAAAATAGTCATTTCTGCCCAAAATTTACACTTTGTCATACACTGCGGTGCACATGGTAAAATTTGCTGTCATAATAGTTCATGTGAGATGAACTCATAGGCTCTACTGGACCAATTTTGTGCACATTGATCCAATCACATCTTCAATGGTAGAACTACCTAACCAAAGGTGTTCTAATCTACTTTTGAACTATGGATTCTCCCTATCATACACATGGTTAGGGTGTTGTTATTCCAACACTGCATCATCTCAGGTATGAAGGAGCTCAAATCATATAATGACCTCAGGATGTCTTATGGTAACAATCCCTTACATCTTGTTGCACCAAATGTCTTATAGTATCAGCTTGACCATATGAATTTTTCATGCTACTCTCACTAGAGTGAACTCCCACCCTTTATCATAATCATGCCTTTACACATATAGTCGTAAGTTCTTAGTTATATATATATATATATATATATAAAATAAAACCCTAACCATTTAACTTTTAAAACAACTTCCTCTAATAATCTACTTTACAAATTGAATCCCTTTCAATGCAAAATCATGCAAGTTTCAAATCATGCTAATAAACAATATCATGTATCATATTATACAAATTTAAATATAAACAGTTAACCTAGCTACTAAATAAAGTGGATTATCCGATTACCTCAACTTTTCTATTTCTAAAAAGGATTACTTATGGTAATTTCGCTTTCTTTCCTAATACTTTATCAAACAAACACGTGAATCCCGTCAATCTACACAATTTAATACTATAACTCAATTACCAAATTGACCTCAAGTACTAATTAACACAATTAAACTAAGTTAAGCTCACTTTAACACTTAGTCACTCTCAATTAGTCACCTTAATTCTAATTTAGTATGCCTCCTATAACACAATTAAACTAAGTTAAGATCACTTTAATGCTCAGTCACCTTAACTCTAATTTAGCTTCTCCATGCCTCCTATAACTTTATTAACCTCCCAACAACCCATACAAGCATTTTCACTCTTTTTCTAGTTTCTAATTTAAACTAAATTGAACTTATAGTTTCAAAGCTCAACTATAAATTTTCAAACTAGTGACAAAATCTTAATTTAATGCCCAATAGCCTTTTATAACCATTAAGTAATAAAGCAATCCCTTAAAACTCTCCAATTCAATTTCTCGTATCCCAAACCAAGAGAAATGAGGATAGAATAAGAGTGTAGAGCGATACGAAACTTATCTAGTAAGTGAAAAGTTGAAACTAACTCCAAGGTGCCTATGAATAGATGCCCTAACAAAGCCAACTCCTCTCCTTCTCTCCTCTGTGTTTTTCTCCCTTTTTCCTTCTCTTGCCATGAGTTGATCCACACATTAATATTTAAAATTTTGTGTGGCACTTAGCATAGAGAGAGAATTCTCACTATAGCCCACACACTTCACTTGGGGCCGAAATTCTTTCACTCGATGCTAATCATGCAATTGATCATCAACCCAAAAAGTCAATTAACCCTCTAAAAATTATAATTATTCAATTAGTCCACTAATTTACTAATTTACACCTAATTAGCAATTGGATTTTGGATTAAAAGTTCAAGATGTTACAGTTCTCAACTTTCTTCTTGCCTTTTCCTTTTTTTCAACCTTTCATTTCTATTATCCATGTTTGATCTCATTCCTTTTTCTCCCCCACTTCTTTTGGGTAACTAAATCTAAATTGAAAAAAAGCTGGATCTCATTTTTTTTGAAAATTGTTCTCTTCCTGTACATGTAGATTGCTCAAGTATACGATATTCATGATCTTTTCTTGCTATAGTGAAGTCACAGAACTCAAATAATTAAAAATAAAGAATTCATTGTTATTTTAATCAAGAATTCATAAGTTGAACAAAGTAGACACCTGGAACTATAAAATGACTTATAAAGACCCCTTTTTGCTTTGCCCAATAAAAAATTTTCACATGCCTCATTTTATTCAGTAATGGTTTGTCTTGATTTTTCAAGTCACTTGGGTGAATTCCCAAGTTACCTTCATTTCCATAATAGGAAACAATCTATTCCCATTTATGTTCCTTATTTTCCCAACTAGCATCAACAATATTTCCATGCCATGATAGTGATTTCAATAGTGTTATGTTTTTATTTTCCAAGCGGTCTACTTTATATGAACAAGCATGAAATTTGACAAGTCATTGAATTTATATTCTTGAGCAAAGTTAGTAAATTCTCAAGTCACTTTTGTATATTCATAAGTAACCTTGAAACATTTCAAAATTGAGTTTCTTTCACATTGGGAACCAATCTATTTTCAAGTGTGATTCCTTGTTTTCCCAATTGATATTAACACTATTCCTATGCCACAATAGTCATTTCAACAGTGTTATGCTTTTATTTTCCAAGTGGTCTGCTTTATGTATACAAGCATGAAAATTAACAAATCATTGGGTTCATATTCTTGAGTGAAGTTAGTAAATTTTCAAGTCGCTTTTGTATATTCATAAGTGATCTTGGAATGTTTCAAAAGTCAATTTCTTTCATACTAGGAAGCAATATATTTCCAAGTGTGTTTCCTTACTTTCCTAACTAGTATTGACAATATTCACATCCCATCATAGTAATTTTAGCAGTGCTATATTATCAAAGCATTTAGAGTTGCATATATTTAAGCCTAAAATAGATATCAACAGTACATTACACTGATTTCAATACATATACGCCATATTTGCATCCTTCTTTACACAAGAAAAAGAACCCCTTCCTACCATCTACCTAAATGGTAATTGTGCAGTCTACTTCCTAAAGAATTACTTAAATTGGAAACCTATTTACATAACTTGCTACCATCACGAGTGCAAAAAGTATATACAGTATGGGTGTTTGTACAAAAAGTCATCCTCAATAGCTCTTGATTATATATGCCTTCTCTACTCAATTTGTAAATTGATATCCTGCCTTCATAAGTCATCTTC